CTTTGAAATTTTGAGAATATTGTTTTATAATATTTTATTAAAGAAACCACCACAACACCACATGGAATCCCCACCAAAATCAACACCACCATAGCGCCAACACCAATCATCACTGCCAACCAAAATCAATGTAACCACCACTGTCATAGCCGAAAATCACTATCGTGGACCGCCAACACCACCGTCAACACCATCACCAGTCACCACAGCCAACCAAAATCAATACAACCACCATTGCCGTCATTGAAAATCACCATCGTCGACTGTCGCCACCACCGTCAACCACTGCTAAAATCAACACCACCACCATGTACCATCAACTATTGTCATCACCAAAATCAACACCAACACCATAAACCATCAAAAAAAAAATTATAATAGAAAACTCGTTTGCTTTGAAATTTTGAAAATAATTTTTTATAATATTTTATTGAAGAAACCACTACAACACCACATGAAATCCCTACCAAAATCAACACCACCACAACTCCACCACCAATCACCACTGCCAACCAAAATCAACGCAACCACCACTGCCATCGTCGAAAATCACCATTGTAGACTACCACCACCACCACCACCACCAGTCACCATTGCCAACCAAAATCAACACAACCACCATTGCCATCGTCGAAATCACCATTGCCGACCGTCGCCACCACCATCAACCACTGACATCGCCAAAATCACCACCACCATAAACCATCAAAAAAATATATATAATAAAAAACGCGTTTGCTTTGAAATTTTGAGAACAATTTTTTATAATATTTTATTGAAGAAATGACCACAACACTACATGAAATCCCCACCAAAATCAACACCACCACAATGCCACCACCAATCACCACTGCCAACCAAAATCAATGCAACCACCACCACCATCGTGGGTCGCTGCCACCACCATCAACAACATCACCAGTCACCATTGCCAACCAAAATCAACAGAACCACCACTGTCATTGCCAAAAATCACCATCGTCGACTATCACCACCACCATCAACCACCGTCAAAATCAACACCACCACCATGACCCATCACCATGAACCATCAACCACTACCACCGCCAAAATCAACACCACCACCATAAACCATCAACCATGGCTACAGCCATCACCACCATCATCAACCACTGTCAAAATCAACACCTTGTGATGGTTAGAGTAGAGAGGGAAGAAAACGTAGAAAAATAGAGAAGAAAGGGGAAAACGCAGAAACCAAAATCAACACTACCACCATCACAATCAAACATACCACCACCAAATCAACCAAAATCAACACGCGAACTTCACCTCCTGCAAATCGCAATCGGCGTCGAAGGGAGAGGAGATGGAGATGAAACGCATCATCGCCTCCCCACGCCGACGTAGGCATCGGCGCATCACCTTCGCTGCCTCCCCACGCTGAAGCCGGCGTCGAGAAGAGAGGAGGAAAAGACGGTTGAAGGAAGAGAGGAGGGAGACGGAAGCGATGGCTTAACGGATTTCTCCCTCCTATTTTCCTTGTTTTCAACCATTTTTGGGTTTTGTACATAAAACGCCCAAAACGTAATTTTGCGTGTTCTTCACAATTTTTTTTTTGCTATCCAAAAAAAAAGAAAAAAACAATGCGTTTTCACTGTTTTGAAGCCGTACTGTTTTCAAAAATCAAAAATAGAAAATGGCTTGAAAACAATATAGAGAACAAGGCCCAAGCATTTAAGATTTCAAAATTTCAAGACTAAAAAACGAGTATATTGAACTTTTCATGAAAATATACGATAACGGTCTAGTATTTATGCACGATAATCTTTCATGGGAGCCCGTTGACTCTCGAGTCATTACATATGTGGTCCAAAAATAAAAGTACGATGTCCATTTCAATGCATGTTTAGGAATCGCATGAAGATCCATTTGTATTTTGTTAATTTACATAACTGTCCTCGTGCACATGGGCTTCGGGTAGGACTATAATGAAACCGGATTCTTGATCACGTGGTTTGATGCGTTTCTGAAATATGATCACAATTTACAGGTACCATGTGAGAAGCAGAGAATCATTTTGACTTTTCATTTTTAGGTACAAGCTGTTCAAGAAATTTGGTCCATTATGAAATTAAAGAAAAAGATACTAAAATTGTACTGAGAATATCAAAAAGAAAAAAGCGTTAAAAACGATTTTGTTGGTTTGTTGGTTTTTTCCCATCTTTTCTTTATTAACACTGGGAATGATTCTTCAATTTTTAGATACATTACTAAGATTTGGTTATGTATGCAGGCATATACATGTCAATTTTAACACGTGTTTTGTACGTTTTTATGAATTATTAACTTAATTGATACTGAAATTATAATAAAGATCTATCAAAATATATTGACATCTGCAATTTTCTTATTAAATTTCACAAACCAAGCTCAAACTAAACTTTGTTCGTCTTCCATTTTTTGAGAAGAAGTTTCATTTGAGTTGGTGACTAAACCTTTTCGAACAATTTGATTTCTTTTTAAGTAATTGTCACAAAACGTTCCTATCTTTCAAGTTAATTGTGGACAACGTCCCTATCTTTCATTTTTTGACATTTTCGTCCCTACCTTTCACCTTTCTTTACACTGTGCGTCGTTTTCATCGATTTTTAATATAAAATGACTGATATACCTATATGTAAATAAAACAAAAAATGAAAAAAAAATACAACTATAGGCCCAAACTTTTTAAAAAGTGTAAATAACCCACCAAAATAATTTCACATTCTTCCCGCACCTCACCCCCACCCCAAAGTGACCTGCCAGCCATTTTCAGCCACCTTTCGGCCACCAAAATCACTTGATATTGACATTAACGAAAAGCCTTTAACCTTCTCCACAATTATCACCCAACAACTCCCCATAATTGGAGCAAAGACATTAGAAGAAGCAGTAGTTGGAGCTGAAAATTTTCCATTGAGCGACCGAACCCAATTAGAGTTGTTCAATCCAAAGTGGACTTTTAGGTCAAAGCCTAGACCAAAGGTTCCTAATAGCGTGGGGAGACTAATCGGGTAATCCAACATTTTGGTTGTAAATTGGCTCAGTTGTTTGTTGACCCACGGATTTTCCATCATCAATTGAGGTTCTAATTTCTGAATTGAACATTTGGAGTACCATAGATTCATGAAATTCCTTGGTCTCGAATTTTTCGCTTAAGGTCCGAAGTTCATCCATGAATTCAACTTGTTCTGGACGAAATTGGCCTTGACCCATGGTTAGGCAAGGTGAATCAGAGGGAGACGAGGTTAGCCCATGTGGTCCAAAACCATGTGTTAACCGGATGGAACTAGAATACGCAATATTAGGCTGGTGAAGCGAGTTCGCGATTGACGGTACTTATGTTATGGGAAGTTGTTGGATGGTAATTGTGAATGAAGTTAAGAGCTTTTCGTTAATGTCAATATCCAGAGGTTTTGATGGTCGAAAGGTGGTTGAAAATGGTCGGCAGATTGCGGTGGGGTGAGGGTGAGGGTGAGGTGCGGGAAGAAGGTGGAGTTATTTTGGTGGATTATTTGCACTTTTTTAAAAATTTGGGCTTATAGTTGCAATTTATTTTTTATTTTTCTTTTCTTTTTTGTTTTATTTAAATAGGAGGATATATTGGTCATTTATGTTAAAAATTGGTGAAAAGAACGTTCAGATCAAAGAAATGTGAAAGGTAAGGGCGAAAATGTAAAGAAAATGAAAGATATGAACGTTTTCCACAATAAATTTGTAAGGTAGAAATATTTTGTGCCAATTATCCTTCTTTTTAAACTGTACAAAATACAATTTAATTATAAACAAAATCAAACTATTGAAGATACACAAATAGAATTTAAGAGCAAGCGAACATTCACATAAAGAATATTAGATGTCCCAAAATGAAAACTCAAAACAGTATATCATTGGCACAGATTTTTAAAAAATAATTTCCAACCACATGTTTTCAAAAGAAAACTTACGTTTTAAATTTCGTTAAATTCATGGGCAGAATTGCAATAAAAATTGAAAAAAGAATTCGCTAGAAGGAGGGCTTGAACCTCCGACCTTGTGGTTAACAGCCACACGCTCTAACCAACTGAGCTATTCCAGCTCTCGTGTTATTCAAATTATCTTTTATATAAATAGCACAATGTTTGTTCGGATAATAACAATCGCACGCAACACAAATATTTTGTGCCCACACTCATTAGGTCAGGTAGCTTTTTCCCTTTCATATTAGAGATCAGTTGGAGCTTTGATTAATTAATATGAAATTATAACGTGATTGAAATAAGTGAATATACCAAATACGTGGTTAAAATTGATGCTCGACTTTAACCTTTGAAACAATAGGAAACTTATAATATATTCCAAACCAACACTAAATCTGAAGTTCATAGAGTTCGTTGAATCTCTGCCTTCAACGAAATTAACGTACTAAACTAAATTCTTATCCTCTACGAAAAATAGGATCGACGGAAGCAAACACGTCGTTTTAGTTGGCAAGAACAGTACAGGTTACACAAAACACAAACCAATGTAGGTTTAGAATTTCCAGTGAGACAATCCAAGATTCAGTCTTTGCTAGCCAAACCAATTTAATTAATTCCACGTTAGATTACGGAAAAAAATTATGATAATAATACACAAGTAAATTAAATAATGTCTGGTAATACTGAGTTCCATATCCCGAGAGTACTACAGATTTTCTTCCCCTAGTAAAAGACTTGGGGAAAATAAAGCACATTCATTAGGAGAACAGAATTAAGCAGTTGGTGGTTTTAACTTTTATTACCTAAGTAATGCTGCCTATCCATAATTATTTACAGATTGATGTACAAAGAAAGAGGGAAAAAAACAGTTTGGTAGAGACGGAATGAGGAAAAAAGAAGGAAGTGAAGAAAATCAGTTAAATTTTATTATAGTGCCATGTCATCAATCTATAAATAATTATGTACATGTTGCATTACTCTTATTACGTTGGGTGGGATAACGGTGTTTATATCAAAAACTAACCATCTGAATAGCCATATGCAAACTACCACCAAACATCGCTTAGAAGACTAGTTTCTGAATTCAAATCAACCTCGACCCCTATTAATGACAAACTTGACTACTAAGCAAACAGCTCGTTGTCAGTTGATGAAACAAGGTAGCATCTCGAGTCTTTCAAAATGCCACAGTTTCAGCCAGCATATTTACAAAGCACCACACTTGCAATAGAAAATGAAAATAAGGGATATTTACCATCTGATTTACAGAGGCAAAGCATTTGCAAATCCATTCAACCGAGGGAATGTAGTCTAAAACTCTATCATCATCTGCACCCGGGTCATATTTGTTCTTAGATTTCCTCTCCAAGCAACAGTTTTGAGACCTACAATTTACAAAGGTAGCGGCACCACATGAGGAAAACCTGAAGAAAAAAATTGTTAATTTGAGCTTATTGATGAATATTCAGCTTGAAACAAAGAAATGAAAGGATATGCCAATATCCATTGATACTAACTCAATCATATGATTTCAAACACGGTAAATGAACAAACTTTTAGTTTAAATAAACTTCGGAAAAGTGCAGATAAAAATGATGAATGCTATTGGAGGCCTTCTAAATAGAAACTAAAATAGAACAAAACTTGGCAATGCAAAGTTCACTAGTGAAGTTGTAAATAGTGTTTATTTTATTCCTTTTTTTCCTTTCAAGGGAGACTATCATGTTGATTATCCATGCGATCTACCTCAATAAGTGCATCAGCATAGTAAAACATTGGACCAATTGGATTAGCAGATTTTAATTTGATATTGCTCTTTGACTGACGCAGTACGTTGTGTAACAATTTACAATCACAAAATTTATATAAGATGTGCGCGCGCACGTGTGTGTGAGAGAGAGAGAGAGAGAGAGAGAGAGAAACCTGATTGCATTCAATAATCAAGCCTCATAAAAAATGAACCATAACCTTCTCCGTATCAGGTTAACCTAATCTAAATTAAGCAAAAACTTATTCTAGGAAATAAAATCTCAAAATATAAAATTATTAATACCCGAAATAAAAGTAACATCTAATTAATCTGATATATTTAATAATCTGAATCAGTTTCGCTCTAAATAATGCAATAGAGATTTCTTCCAATCCTCCACCAAGAAGTAAAGCAAGGTGTTATTCACTACCATTTTCCTTGGCAAAGTATGAGGAATTCAAAGTATACGTGTGTGTGCAAGTTCATGAATTGAACCAAAAATGAACACATGCACCACAAGACCCACATGAAGGATGACCATCACAAACCGATCCAAATTGGCGTACACATACAGCACAACTGCACTTGACATTTCTTTTTGCGAACTAAATAACTAAATCTTTTGTAAATTGAATGTGTTAAACCACTTTTCAAAGTACCACAAGCAAAAAGAGAATTTTTCCAAAAGCCACTGATCCATAAAGATCTTAATTTCACATCCGACCTCAGCAAACTACAACTAATTCAGTTTCTGAATCTTAACTATCTCTTCACCACAATCAATTCTAAGATGGACTGATGGAAAGCATTTCAGCACCATGTTTGATCATGCTCCAAGTATAATTCCATCAATTGCTCACCATTAAAAGATGATAACAAATAAGGCCTTCACAAATTTATCAATGCCCCTTATCATGGCAGGAAATGATTGACTAATTGCATGTTGATGAGTCTGTGCAGCCATGATTATTACCTTAAAAGAGCAGGGAAGTAATGGATATGGCTTAACATATATCATTTCTCCAATAACAATTTAAAACCCAAGAGAGTTTCATAAAACAAAGTTAAGAGTGCCTAGCAAAACCGAGGTCATTTCAGGCTCCTCAATCATATCAAAACATTTTTTATAGTCATACTAAACTGATTGTGGTTGCACACAAATCCATCAAGATGCTAATGAAACTCAATTCAAGCTTCAATTCTGGGGAAGAAAATTTGCAAGTGTTATAAATCTCTAGTGTTCAATGATAGGATAACATGATTTTGAGCCTTATCAGTTATAACTCAGCTTTCTCATTTTCTCTAATGAAGTTAAGGAGCTTTTGGGATTATAAATAGCCAGGCAATACTATTTAAACACATTGAGGTGGAATCTGACAAGAGGCGTCTACAGATGAATAATAACTCCTTCAATTAGGTTGGGAGGTACTGATATTCTCCAATTCAGGTTTCCCTTCAGAAATAAATCTTACAAGATGTACTCCTTCTGACTCGATCTAAATTCTAAATTAATTGATGCTCAGAAAAAGAAGCTAAAAGTGGATTTTATCATATTAATTAACATTGCCACAAGAAAATAACTACCCTTTGGCTAAGAGTGTAAAATTTCCAGATATCACGACCAATATGCTTTTCTCCAATCAATTACCCCAATAAAATGAGACGATGAGATTGCTAATACGATGAATTAGTACAGTCTGACTCAGTGAACACATACTTACAGCAAATTTAATTTGCAATCAATCACATAAATGAAAAGTTGTGACAAGCATCCATGTTGTAATTACCATATTAAAATAATAAATAGGTGACACCTAATAAATAATAAATGATTATATATCAGAACAGTGCATGCGATTTTGATCCTTTTTTAATTCCCTGTGATTGCAGTTTATAATTCAACAGTAACTCTGATAGGCAATTTGTTGTCAAACGACCTCCCGGGCAATGATGTAACCTCGGTTTTATTTATTATCAATCGGCCTTGGCTATATGATTGAACTTATGTCGATACTACCATCGAGACAACCCAATCCAATTTTCTACGGGTCATTAGAAGCAACCTATTTCAATAGTGTTGCTCGTGGCCCGTCCCATTTACTTGGATGGCTACGATATTCATTTGGAACCCAATACATTTTGTGTTAAGCCTCTTTTGGACCACTAAGTTAACCTACCCTAACTTACCATATATGGTCACACCTTTGGGCTATAACTCTTGGCTCCCTTCACGCCTCCAAAATGGTCGTCTTCTTTACTTCTCTCTGTGAGGTCTTCTTGGCTAACTCTCGGCTTTTCTCTCTCAACCAACCCGTGTGGTTTCTCTTGGACTATATTGATCTCATCTTGGCCAACTCTTTGAGGGTATGAGTAGCAATCGTAGGTGGGAAGAAGAATAGAGAGATTTGGGTGTGTCTACATAGTGGTGGTGTCGACTTTGGTGGAAACTGAGCCCGGTATCACTTGGGTATTGCTGGATTTTTGGTCTCACATCTGGTATCAAAGCTCCAGTCATCTTCTCCAACAAGAAATCGACCATAACCAGCGGCAGGTTCGCGATTTTCGAACGAGGGCCAAACCTGCAATTGCTTATTCTGACCAAACGCGACCTCCGTTGGACGAACGGAGGCCAGACCTATAACCAGCAAATGGAGGCACCTCCGATGGTGAGGCGCGTGGCGGCGGCGACGCATGGAGGACCTCTTGCGTGGTTTTTTCGTGTCATTTCACTTATTTTGATTTTCTGAACGTACTAATATGTTTAGTTTAGTGTTTCAGATTGTACAGAAAAGATTGGACGATTTTGCCCCTACCTTCAATCTGCATTTGTTGCTGATCAAAATTGCTATATTTGCTAAATCTTTAGGGCGAATAATGGTGGCCCTAAAGCAGTAAATTCGCATCTCTCCACGTAACGGACTCAGATAGGTCCGCTCTGATAAATTGGTTGAAAACTTTATATTTTTGCATTAGCAGATCATTGTGTGGGGTGATCATTAGGTTTGGGGTTGTCATTGCTTGTACTAAAATTAGGGTTACGTACTCTTAATTATTTGATTGAGTATTTGTCTTTTAGTTAAATCAGTATTTGAGTCTCAATGACATAACTGTTGTGAAACTAGTTATCTGCTAGACGTATCTTTTGTTGCATTGTTACTTCCGTTGCTTGCTTATTCTGTTAGAACTACCTTGACCTTACCCGTTCGAACATTCCCTTGATCTAAGACCGCGAGTCTTACGAAACCCTGGGAATCTAGAACGGTGTATACTGTCTGTGACCCTAGGACTACTTTGTGTGGTTTGATTGTGTTTTTTATGCTCTCTTTAACTATTGTGTAAAGATGACAACTCACAACTTTGATTTGGGAATTTTTAATGAAAATGGTGATTTTGCTATTTGGCAACAAAAAATGAAGGGCATTTTAGTCCAACAAAAAGTTTCAAAGGCCATTGAAGGCAATTTTTCAACTGATTTTTCACAAGAACAAAGAGAAGAAGCCGATGAACTTGCTTATATCTCAATCATTTTACATTTGTTTGACGCCGTTTTAAAAAAGGTGGGTAAACTGAAAACCACTAAAGAACTTTGGAAAAAATTAGAAGACTTATATTTGCTTAAGTCTACACCGAATAAACTTTACTTGCTCGAACGTTTTTTCAATTTTAAAATGGATCATTCAAAAGATCTTGATGATAATTTAGACGTGTTTAACAAATTGGTGCAAGATATAGTTAATTGTGATGAGATTGTGTCCGAAACTTATAAGGCTATAATTTCGCTCAATGCAATTCTTGATTCTTATAAGGAAGTTAAGAACGTCATTAAGTATGGTAGAGACATGTTGACACCTGAAATTGTCATAGATTCCCTTAGAAGTAAAGAAATGAAAATTAGGACTGAAAAACACGATAAGAGGAATGGTGAGGTACATATGAAGCGAGGTAGAACTCAATTTAGGCAAAATAGTCATGATGGATATCAAACTAGTGGCGAGTCAAGTGGTAATGGATGGAAGAAGAAGAGCAAAGGTAGGTCTAGATCAAAATCTAGGACTAAGACAAGAAAATGCTATGGTTGTGGAAACACGGGGCATCTTATAAAGGATTGTCACAAGGAGAAGGGTAAGCTAAAGGTTAAAGAGAGAGATGAGGTCAATGTATTAGCATCTACTTCCAATATAAACGGTGGTGAGGTCTATATGATTACAAGTCCCGTTGCATATACTGCTGAATTAAATCTAACTGCTAATTCCCGCATACATGAGTGGATACTTGACTCTAGTGCATCCTTTCATGTGACGTCTGAGAAGAATTGATTTTATAAATTGCATGAATCTAATGTTGGGCATGTTGTGTTGTGTGATAACTTTGCCTATACTATTGCCGGAATTGGTGACATAAACGTAAAATTTGACACAGGTTTTGTGTACATGTTAAAGGATGTTAGACATATTCCTGAATTGTCTAGGAATCTGATTTCAATAGGGAAACTTGAAAATGATGACTTTACTGGTAAAATTGAAAATGGTATGCTAAAAATGATCAAGGGTGATTTAGTTTCCATTAAGGGAATTAAGAAAAACGATATATATATTACTACTGGGGAAGTGATTAGAAATTTGAACTCCTCTATCTCTTCTGCAAAGATTGATCACACACACACACATGGCATAA